GAATTAGGAGAAAAACATCCATATCTCAAATAATCATAATGGGAAGATATATTCTGAAATAGAGATAAAAGAATCCAGAGTTAGATTGCAGCACTGACATATCTGATCCCAGTGTTCATTAATGGATCGGATCCAGGTAGACATCAATGAAGAGTGAGACAACGTCAAGACTGGTAATAACATGACCAGGTGGTTTTTGTATCGTACTAAACTGTTGAAAGACATCGAAATAGTCTTTTATATAGTATTCGCCTTTAACGTGAGCTGATTTTAAAATATTCGAAATCAATGAGGATAGAGCGTGCCTGAACCAATTGATGCTAATATGTCTTAAAAGTTTTGGCACAAAATATTTATCGGATTTTTTTTAATGGAAAAATTTAAACACTAACTAGTTATTATTAATTACAACTCAATACTTAACTAAACTGTACTATCGAATTATGTGGAGTGGCCCATTCTGCGCTACCAGACGCAACTTTCTTCGAATGTATCTCATGAGGTCCTGGACGGAATTCAGATCAATTTCTCTCAGTTTTTCGTAAATTCGCCGTCTTAATTGTTCTACATCTTGGCCTTCTGAGCCTCCATGATAAACCTTCCTAGAAAGTATACTCCAAAAACCCTCTATTGGGCGAGCCCTGCGGCAAGTTTGGAGGTTTATCGTTTTTGGGAACAAAAGGTATGTTGTGTTGTCGAAGCCAGCTTTGGGAATCTCTTGACTAATGGCATGATGCTAGGTCTGACCAAAACATGATATGGTCATTAGCACGATATTCGTAGACAAATTGAAGCAATTTGGAAAGGTAGTTATCAATATAAATCTGATTTTCCAAAGCTTTACCACTCACTCTTCCCAGAAAAGGTTGGGATACACCCCTGTTAGAAATTGCACACCACACAATAATTTTATCTGCAAATTTCGCTTTATGTTTGTATTTAACATTGTCAGAGCATTCCTCTACGTTGTCAGTATAGAATCCGTCTTTTCCTTTCATTTCAGAATTACTCAAAGTGAAATACTTTTCGTCATCTAAAATAATGATTTTTCCATTAGCAAAGTGTACCCGCCTCAGTTGACGACAGCATCTTGGTATACGAAGGAGTTGCGCTTGAGAGTATGTGGAGCACTCAAGTCTCTTTGGATATTTTAGACCACCTGATTTTTTACACTCTCACCAATCTCTCTGACCTCTGTGCAGTAAATGCACGTGGTCTTCCACTTTTTGAGAGAGATTCAGGCATGGTATTCCCTGCTCGCACTCCGCTATTGTTCAATAAATTGTTCTGCGTGAAATATTTTCATTCTGGATTATTCGACAGATTTTTAGCTTGTAGATACTTTTGTCAACTAACAGTAAAGTAAACAAACCGATGAAGACAGAATTATAAGTGGTTAATGATTTTTTTTCTGGTACTGATTAATTTGTATGTATATACTAAGTGACATATAAATCCGAACACACAGTTTAAATGGTTTTATTTTAATAAAAGTTGGTGAATGTATTTATCTTACTGTAAAACAAGTGAAAAAATTTTCAGCCTTATCAGTTGGACATTCCGGTTTTTATACTGCTTTTTTTTAATTCACTAACGCTCTAAAAATGAATATTTCAGCCGCAGTAAAAGAATCAACGTTGGCGGATTTTGGTTCTTGACATCCTTTACGATCGGTTACGATGCCTAGAGTACGGAGACCTGTACGATTTCGTCAACTTAGTGAGTTTGATAGGGGCCGTATAGTGGGACTTCGGGAAGCTGGACTTTCTTTTCGGGCAATTGCAGTTAGAGTGCAAAGAAGTGTAGACACTGTGGTGAGGTGTTGTCAGGCATGGCTTCGAGAAGGCCGTACGCAAAGAGCAAGGGGCACTGGACGCCGCCGTAGA